GGGGGGCGGAATGTAGGTGACAGGGACATTGGGGGAGGGGGGAATGTGGTAGTTGGGGTGGTGCTGACACAACACTTACTGGAAGTTGAGCGTATTCGAGTACAGGTGTAATGCTGCTCGATTGCTGTAAAGTGGAGAAATCAGAAAAGCAGAGATTAAAATTCTTTCAGTGTTTCCTCAGCACAGAGTAACACTCCTCAAGCATCGTGGACTTAGGCACTCTGACACAGCCGGGCTGTGCGATGAGGGGAGCAGCGCGCAATCTCAAAGACGCTGGACTGAAGAGCAAAGGTAAGGTTTCTCAAACCCTGGGGCTGCCCTCCCACTGGAGAGAGACAACCGCTTGCCGGTTTAACCCGAGAGCCGCATACGCCTCAGGCGAGGTTGAGCAGAGACCCTCAGGGTGCAGGGGCTGAAACCACACCCTCAGCGTCGCCAAGCAGATGTCCAGCCAACTGAGCGAACCGGTCTCCAGCCTGAGCAGCACTGTTCAGCGGGAGAGCCCGGAACTACACCCACCAGCTTAAGGGGGTGCGGGCACAGCCGGAGGGCCAGCGCCGAGGGGAGCGGGCACAGCCGGAGGGCCAGCGCCGAGGGGAGCGGGCACAGCCGGAGGGCCAGCGCCGAGGGGAGCCTGTGCTATCGGAGGAAAGGGGATGGGGGGGTGCTAGTCACCCCCAGGAGAGCTGGATTGGTGTGGGTACCTCTTCCGGACATGCAGGGAGACGTAGCGAGCGTTGAAATTCTCGATCATGGCTCTCGACGCCTGGTCCATGAGTTTCTGAGCCAATCCAAGTCGCCGATGGGATCTCTTCACTGCCTGCGTCATCGGACAGAACACGATGTTCAATCTTGAGAGACACCGCTCCGTCCACATCCGCCCTCTCCGACAGACGCATTGCACACCTCTCTTCCTCTTCCCAAAACCCCCCTCCCCCTCCATTGCTCCTTCACCACCATTTTCCAGTCCCGTTCCCTCACCTCCGGCCCTCCAACCCCTTTCTCCATTCCCGGCCAACCCCTGGAACTCCTTACCAGGGAGGTGATGTGGCCGTGGGGTACGTCGTCAGGATCTTCTTCCCTGGAAGCAAAACCAGAAAGTAACCAACTTTTACCGAGGCAGAGGGTTGGTGGGGTGGGGTGGGGGGAGGGTTCATGCAGCTTGATACAGCCAGCGCTCTGCCCAAGACGGCGAGAAATTACACGGGGTGGGGGCGAACACAGCCCACTCCATCACGCAAACCAGCCTTCCTTCTGTTGACTCCATTTACGCTTCCCGCTGCCCCAGGAAAGCAGCCAACATCAAAAGAACCCTCCCACCCCAGTTAGGGAGAAGATACACAACACGCACTAACAGATTCAAGAACAGCTGCTTCCTTCCCGTTATCAGACATACGAACGGACCTCTCAAATATTCCAGCCGATTCTTCTCTGCACCTTCTCCGTAGCATTCTGTTCTATGACCCTGGCGTACTTATGTCAGCTGTGATTTCCCTGGTTAGCACGCAAAACAATACTTTTCACTCTACATTGGTACATGCAGCAATAACAGATCAATGCAGAAAGTCATTTCCCCATCGTTCTGACGTGGGGGTGAAATGCCAACATAGAGAAGGTGGGCTACCACATTAGTTCATCGCCACAGAATACACACACAAACACAATCCCCACCACCCCCCCAATAATGACTTTGCTAACGTCGTACTATGGTTTATAAAACAGACACCACATATTTAACTTCGCTCGAGTGTCGTCCATCACACTTTTTTAAAAACTCATCGCGGGACGTTAGGCATCGCTGGCTGTGTTATTGTCCTGTCCCTAGTTGCCCCCCTTATGAAGGTGGTGGTGAGCTGCCTTCTTAAACCGTGCAGTCCATGTGCTGTAGGTGGGCCCTTAAGGGAAAGAAATCCAGGACTTCGACACAGTGACAGTGAAGGAACAGCGATACATTTCCAAGGATGGTGAATGGCTCAGAGGGGAACTTGCAGGGGGTGGTGTCCCCATCTACCTGCTGCCCCTGTCTGTCTAGATGGAGGTGGCCACGGGTTTGGAAGGTACTGCCCGAGGATCTTTGGGTGAATTTCTGCAGTGCCCTTGTAGATGGTACACACTGATGCCACGGAGCATCGGTGATGGAGGGAGTGGATGCTTGTGGATGTGGTGCCAATTGAGCAGGGGGCTGTTTTGTCCTGGATGGTGTCGAGCTTCTCGAGTGTTCGCACCCGTCCAGGCAAGTGGGGAGTGTTCCCTCGCACTCCTGACTTGTGCTTTGTCGATGGTGGGACAGGCTTTGTGGAGTTCTGCAGCCTACAGATACCAACGTGCACACACGATATTTTTTAAACTGCTGTTGGCGTGGGGGGTCCCTTGGTTCTTGCAGTGCCCCTGTTCTCTGCTCCCATTTTCCTTGTTCTTGCTTTCAAAGGGACCAGTCACTGGAAAGTGGAGAGTCCAACAGGAGAGAACAACAGGGAGATGCGTGTAAAGCCGGATACACACGCGAGAGAACGGAACTGAAGGATACGTGGACAGGAAAGGTTTTGAAGGGTATGGGCTAAGCGCAGGGAAACGCGGCTGGCGTGGATGGTCAGCTCTGGGCCGAAGGGCCTGTCTCCCTGCTGCAGGACTCTCTGACAGGGCAATGGTAGAGAAACAAAGAGGTGTGTCGGAAGGCATGGGGTGAAATGCCGATGTAGAGAAGGTGGGCTGCCACATTACTTCATCGCTGCGCACACAGGCACGCGTGCACACAAGGACTCGCGCGCGCACAAACACAGGGACCCCCGTCACTTACATTTTTGCCAGGACATAGCCCACAATCTTTCCATTCTCATCTTCTGCGATGTACGAGAGCTGCAAAGGGCGAGAATAGCCGGCGTCAGGCTGCTCACCGTCAGGACCACCCCAACACCCGCACTCGGTCCCCCTCCTCCCCTCCCCTCACACACACCCGTATCCTGCCCACTATCGAGGGGGAGGTGTAAGCTTACCCAGGAGCCTACAGTCAACCCTCAACCGACGAGACTAAAGATGAAACGATATGCTGGGGTGGGGGCACAGTCTGCGGTACAGCTTGGAGTTGACGCATTCCCCCACCCCTTTGCAGAACGCGCAGGTCTGGCGAGCTGGCCACACCTACAATCGGCCCTACGGATTTGTGGGATCTGCAGGAGGGGCTGGGCGGGGTTACCCTTCGGAAGGTGGGTGCAGACCCGGCCCGCCCTCCACCTGCATTGGAGGGACTCTGCGTTACCGCGGCGAGCGGATTTTTTTTGCCGCACGAAACGCCCCGGCCCAGCAACCGCATCCCCTTCCCAACCGTTGTTTGTCTTTGCGTGCGGCCCAGTGGCTAGCACTGGGTCGGTGTGGACCTGTCGGGCCAAAGGGCCTGTTTCCAGGGATTCGAATGATAGGCACTGATTGATTCAGGGAAAGAGTGGGGGGGGCGGGGGGAGGCCCTGAGGTGGCGATGGACCAGGAATGGCATGGCACAACACGAGGCCCAACCCCCTCCGCGAGCCGCTCCATACCTGCGGCCACGACAGACCATGGTAGAAGTAGTATTTCATCTGGTAGTTCTCCGGTAGGCACAGCAGGTTGCAGTGCTGCATGTTCATCAGGTCCTCGGGCTTGGGGTGGTGGGGGGAGAGAAACAGACGCAATCACACACAGGGACATACACTCCCGCCCGACCACTCTACATGGGTGTAGGAAATAGCAGCAGGAGCAGGCTCTCTGGCCCATCTTTGCGCAGACTCAGCTCCGCTCACTGTAACCCTTAATCCCTTCGCTGCTCCAAAATCTATCTCTGCCTTCAGAACATTCAACAAGGAAGCCTCAACTGCTTCCCTGAGCAGGGAATTCCGCAGATTCCCAACCCTTTGGGTGAAGGAGTTCCTCCTCAACTCAGTCTGAAATCTACTCCCCGTTATTTTGAGCCCCCCTGGTTTTAGTTTCACCTGCCAGTGGGAACAACCTTCCTGCTTCGATCTTATCTATTCCCTTCGTAATTTTGCATGTTTCTGTAAGATCCCCCTCACTCTTCTACATTTCAGTCTATTCAATCTCTCCTCATAAGCCAAGCCTCTCAAATCTGGAATCGACCTAGTGCACCCCCTCCAGTGCCAGTACATCCTTTCTCGAGTAAGGACAGCAAAACTGTACACAGTACTCTGGGTGTGGCCTCACCAGCCCCCTATACAGCTGCAGCATCACGTCCCTGGTTTTTAAACTCCATCCCTCTAGCAATGACGGACAATATTCCATTTGCCTTCTTCATTACTTGCTGCACCTGCCAACCAACTTTTTTTGTGATTCATGCACAAGGTCACCCAGGTCCCTCCGCGCTGCAGTGCGCTGCAATTTTTCACCGTTTAAATAACAGCCCGTTTTGCTGTCATTCTGACCAAAATGGATGACCTCGCACTTACCAACATTGTACTCCATCTGCCAGACCCTCGCCCCCTCACTATCTAAGAAAACAAGGTGTAGAGCTGGATGAACATAGCAGGCCAAGCAGCATCAGAGGAGCAGGAAAGCTGACGTTTCCGGTCTAGACCCTTTTTCTGAAAATCACTATCTATACCTCTTTGCAGACTTTGTCCTCTTCTTGCTTTGCTCTACCAGTTACCTGCGAACTTTCTCCATCAGGACAAAGGGGCAGAACGTCCCCATTCTGAGGAAGGGTCACAGGACACGAAATATTAACTCGGATTTCTCTCCACAGATGCTGCCAGACCTGCTGAGCTTTTCCAGCAATTTCTGTTTTTCTTTGGGACAGGACAACATTCTAATTAGGGAGGGGGAATAGGGGATGCAGCGATGGGAGGGGAAGACGGATCCCTGGGGAGCTGGTACAGCCCAGCATGGACTGGAGGGAGTGAGTGGTCGAATGGCCTGCTTTGGAGACAATGCTGGTGCTGGGTCGGTGGCACATTTGTTCCTCGTATTAAAATAGGTCTCTGGGGAGTGCTCCCCACCGTTTCCTCACACCCTCCTCTCAGAGTCATACGGCATGGAAACAGGCCCTTTGGCCCAACTCATCTATGCTGGCCAGGTTTCCTAAACTGAACAAGTCTCATTTGCCAGCATTTGGCCCAAATCCCCCTTAACCCTTCCTAGTCATCCAGATGACTTTTAAATGTTGTCATTGTACCAGCCCCCACTACTTCCTCTGGCAGTTCATTCCATACACGCACCACCCTCTGCGTGAAACAGTTGCCCCTCAGGTCTCTTTCCCCTCTCACCTTAAACCTACGCCCCTCTAGTTTAGGACTCCCCTACACCTTGGCTATTCACCCTATCTATGCCCCTCATGATTTTATAAACCTCTATAAGGTCACCCCTCACTCTCCGACACTCCAGGGAAAATAGCCCCAGCCTATTCAGCCTCTCCCTATAGTTCAAACCTCTAACCCTGGCAACATTCTCGCAAATCTTTTCTGAACCCTCTCAAGTTTAACAACATCTTTCCTGTAGGAGTGAGACCAAAATTGCATCAGTATTCCAAAAGTGGCCTCACCAATACAGCCGCAACATGACCCTCCCAACTCCTACACTCAACGCACTGACCAATAAAGGCAAGCATCCAAAACGCCTTCTTCACCGCCCTGTCTACCTGCGACTCCACTTTCAAGGAACTATGTACCTGCTCCCCAAGGTCTTTCTGTTCAGCAACACTCCCCAGGACCTTACCATTAAGTCCTGACTTGGTTTGCCTTTCCCAAAATGCAGCCCCTCACATTTATCTGAATTAAACTCCATCTGCCCCTCCTCGGCCCATCTGATCAAGGTCCCGTTGTACTCGAGATTACCTTCCCTTGCTGGACCCAAATTGGTACTTTCTCGCCACAGATGTCCCCAGACCCTTTTTGTCCATTCCTTCACGGGTCTCGCTCGACCAGCATTTATCGCCCATGCCTAATTGCCCAGAGGGCAGCTAATAGTCAACCACATTGCTGCGTGTCTGGAGTCACATGCAGGCCTGACCAGGTAAGGATCGCAGCTTCCTTTCCTAAAAGGATATTACTGAACTGGGTGGGTTTTTCAACAACGATTGCCTTTTGATTAATTCCAGATTCTTTCGCAAATTCAAGTTCCACCATCTCCCATGGCAGGATTCGAACCCGGGTCCCCAGAACATTAGAGATAGCAAGAACTGCCAATGCTGGAGTCTGAGATAACAGTGTGGAGCTGGAGGAACTCAGCAGGCCAGGCAGCATCTTTTTCTGAAGAAGGGTCCCAACCCGAAATGTCAGTTTTCCTGCTCCTCTGATGCTGCCTGTTCCTCCAGCTCCACACTGTGTTACCCCAGAACATTAGCTGAGCTTCTGGATTAATAGCCTGGCGATAGAAAACTAGGCCATTGCCCTCCTCCTGAGTTTTTCCAGCAATTACTGGAAGCAAGCTCCAGGTGAATGATGGAATTCAGGTCAGTGTTTCTTCTGATCGGGCTGGGGATAGAAGTAGAGTAACTCAAAACAAGAATACACTGTCTATCTCTCCCTCCCTCATGCGGAAGTGGCATTGTTAGACCAGGCTGGACAAGGTCAGAAGTCATATGATACCAGGTTATAGTCCAACAGGTTTGTTTGAAATCACAAGCTTTTGGAGTGCTGCCCCTTCATCGGTGACTGATGCTGGAATCGAAACATGAACTCTGTCTTGCTCCACAGACACCATCAAGTCTCTGTGGCACTTTCTGACTTTTCATTTGCTCCCAATCCACTTCAAAAAAAGGGGGAAAATTGGGGAAGGAGGATGGCAATGGCATTGGGGGGGGGGGGGTGGAGGGGGAGAAAGAGTGCAGATGACTGACACTGGAGTCGAAACACGAGCTCTGTCTCCCTCCACAGACATCACCAGCACCTGCACAGTCTCTGTGGCACAATCCCAGTTTTATTTGTTTCTGAACCCTCAGGAAAGGGGGTGGGGGAGGAGAAGGGCAATTAGGGTCAAAGAGAGATGTCAGACACTGGAGTCAAAACATGACCTCTATCTCTCTTTCTCTTTCTCTTTCTACACACACACACACACACACGCACTCCCAGGACCTGCCAAGTCTGCAAAGCGCTTTCTGACTTTTATTTGCATCCAATCCCTCTCAGGAAAAGGGGAAAGTGGGGGTAGGAGGGAGGCAATTGGGGTTAAAGAGGGAAGGCAGCGGAGACTGGAATAAAAGCATGAACTCTCTCTCTCTCTCTCATAAAAACCGAAAGAAATGCAGATGCTGTAAATCAGAAATAAAAACAGAAGCTGCTGGAAAAGCTCAGCAGGTCGGGCAACATCTGTGAAGAGAAATCAGAGTTAACGTTTCGGCTCCAGTGACCCCTCCTCAGAACGGGTCTCTCTCCCCTCCGCAAACACCGCCAGGACCCGCTGAGTCTCTGTGGCACTTTCCCACTTTTATTTATTCCTGATCCCTCAGGAAAGGGGGCAATTGAGGACTGGGGGGGTCATCAGGAAGGCAGAGGGCAACAAGGGCTAAGGAGGGAAGACAACAGACACTAGAGTCGAAATATGAAATCCATATCTATCTCCACAAATACTGCCAAGTCTCTGGTCCCACATCCTGACTTTCATTTTGTTTCAAATCCCTCCTCAGGAAAGGGGGCAACTGTGGGGTCTGAGGGGTAGGAGGAGGGCGACTGGGGGTTAAAGAGGGAAGATGACTGACACTGGCATTAGTACATTAACTCTAAACCTTCCTCCACAGACACTGCCAGACCCTGCCAAGTCTATGTCTCACTTCCTGACTCTTATTTGTTTCCGATCCCTCCTCAAGAAAGGAGGGAACTGTGGGGGTGCGGGTAAGTAGGAGGGCAATTAGGGTTTAAAGAGGGAAGGTGACAGAGACTGGAGTCAGTACACTAACTCTATACCTCCCCCACAGACATGCCAGAACCTTCTGAGCCACTTTCTCACTTTTATTTTGTTTCCAATCCCTCTTCAGGAAAGGGGGCAATTGTGGGGGGGGGGGGTAGGAGGGCGGCAATTGGGGGTTGAAGAGGGAAGGTGAGAGACTGGAGTCAGTACATTAAGTCTACACCTTCCACCCCCACCCCCACAAAGACACTGCCAGGACCTGCCCAAGTCTCTGTCCCCAGACTTC